CCAGGTGGTTATCAGTATACCATAGCAAGCATAGCGCTTGTGCGCCCCTGGGAGGCGAACTCGTGAGGATCTCTCGAGCGGGAGCCTCATCTGTGAGTGAATGGAGAGGAAGTCTCCAGCGGGGGTCCTCTCCCTATGGGGTCCCCACTTCATGTTTGTAATGCCAGGCGGTCATCGCCGTACGGCAGCAGGCATAGCACTTGTGCACCCTCAGGAGGCGAATCGTGAGGATTTCGGGAGCGGGGGGCACGTCTGTGAGTGAATCGCGAGGAAATCTCGAGCGGGGGCCCCTTTCCTTGTTTGGTCCCCACTTCATGTTTGTAATCCCAGGCGGCTATCAGCATACCGTAGAAGGCGTTTCATCGCAGCACCCCCATGAGGCGAATCGTCAGGATTTTCCGGTGGGGGCCTTGCCTGTAAGTGGTTTGCGAGACAGTCTCGAGCGGTAGCCCTCTCCATGTTGGCCCCCCATTTCACGTTTGTAGTCCGAGGCGGTTCGAGCACCCCAAGGGGGCAACTCATGAGGACGTCTCGAGCGGGAGCCTCATCGCGACGAATCCTCCAGCGCCCCCCGTCCCCGGGGGGACCGCACTTCATATCAGTAGTCCGAGCAGGTCATCAGCGTATTGTAGCAGACAAAGATAGCACTTGAGCACCCCCAGGGTGCAACTCGTGAAGCCGTGTCGAGCGGGGGCCTCGTCTGTGAATTGATTACGAAGGTGTTTCCGTCGGGCCCCCCCAGGTCCCAAGGGCCCCACTGGGCGCACAGGTCCCACAGATCTCACAGGTCGCACAGGTCCCACAGGTCCCACAGGTCTCACAGGCCGAACAATCCCAGGGGTCTCACAGACCCTTCCGGCCCCAAATGCTTCACAGCTCGCACAGGTCTCACAGTTCCCACAGGTCCCAGAGTCGCACTGGTCCCACAGGTCCCAAAGGCCTTACAGGCCCCACAGGTTGCACAGGCCCCGCAGGTCGCACAGGTCCCATGGGTTCCACGGGTCTCACAAGTTCGTCCCGCAGGTCCAACAGGTCTCACAAGTTCCAGGGGTCCCACAGGTCCCACACATGCCTCAGGGCCCGCAGGTCCCACAGGCCCCACAGGCCCCACGGTTCCAACAAGCCCCACAAGTCGCACAGGTCACATGGGCCCTGCAGGTCTCCCAGGCCCCACGGCCCCACAGGTCCCACAAGTTCCAGGGTGCCTGGGTCCGCAGGGCCCACAGGTCCCCCAGGCTCCACAAGTCCCACAAGTCTCACAGGCCGCAAAGGTACCACACACAGGTCCATTGCAGGTCCCACAAGTTCGACGGTTCTCAGTGGCCACAGGGCCCGCAAGTCCCGTCCCACAGGGCCCGCAAGTCCCACAGGTCGTACAGGTCCCACTCCCGCAGGGTCAACAAGCCCCGCATTCGCCGTGGTAGTGGTAATCTCCGTCGCCGTCGTCGCCGTCACCGTCGCTCTTGTCGCCGCCCTCGCCGCCGTCGCCGTTGTCGTCACCGTCACCGTGACCGCCGCTGTCGTCGCCGTCGCCGTCGCCGTCGCCGTCGCCGTCGCCGTCGCCGTCGCCGCCGCCGCCGCCGCCGCCGTCGCCGTCGCCGTCGCCGTCGCCGTCGCCGTCGCCGTCGCCGTCGCCGTCGCCGTCGCCGTCGCCGTCGCCGTCGCCGTCGTCGTCGTCGTCGTCGTCGTCGTCGTCGTCGTCGTCGTCGTCGTCGTGGGTGAGCCCTCCCGTCGGCGGATGCCGCTGGCAGGGCGCGTGTGACGGTGAGGGCGGCTGCCACGGCGTCCTCGACACGGGCACTACGCACCTGGGCGAGGGGGGGAGTTGTTGGAGAGAAGGCTTTTGTCGTCGGCGTCGGCGTCGTCCTCGTCCTCCCCCACCCTTCCTCCGCTACTCCTCTTCTTCCTCCTCCTCCTCCCTCATCCCTTCTCTCTCCTCGTCCCCTCCTCTCACTCCCCCTCTCGCATGCGCGGCAGAAGGTGCAGGTGGTGGAGGCGGAGGAGGAGGAGGAGGAGGAGGAGGAGGAGGAGGAGGAGGAGGAGGACGAGTAGGTCTCTCGTGGCGGGTACGATGTCAGGTGTCTTTCCTGTCGCACTCCGATGTCACGCCCATTCGGTGAACACAGTCGAGCTGTATTGACCCGCAGTCCCTGCAATATGGTATCTTGAGCGGGAGATGCATCTGCTGATCCTTTCGATATGTGCACGCAGATGCACGTAGGCCAGAAGCACATAGCCCAGCCCTTGCCTGAGCAGTCTGGCGCAGGAGTGCCGCAGAACTGGCGGATGACATGGTAAGCCCAGGGCGTAGGATTTCTCCTCTCCTCGCCCTTCCCCCGTCTTCCGCCCATCTTCCCTTGTCGAAGTCCCTCCGCCCTCCCCGCTCTGCGTCACCCGCTTCGCGCTCGCCCCCCTTCCTCTCCCCTTCCCCTCCTCCCCCTCTGCAGGCGCTCCTTTTGAGTATACTGCCCCCTCCCCCCTCTCCCTCGACGGCGCGTTGGCTTGCACCCACCCCTCCCGCGCACGGCCGTCGCACGCGCAGACGCACACGGGATTCAGCATTTGCTCTCTCGTGTGTGCGTGTGTGTTTTGCTCGTGCTCGGCCGTTCCGAAGGGGCGTCTTCTGCGAGCGCTTGACGGGGTGGGGGTGTTTCTGGCCAGCACCACCCCGCAGTCCCGGGCGCTCTCCGACCCCGCCCCGCCCCAAAGTGGGTTGGGCCGTGTCTGTTCGGTCCTTCCCCGTTCTCCCCCCCTCCGAAAGTCGGGGGGGGGGGTCGACCCGCCCTCCTCCGCTCCCTGCGCGCCGGCAAGCAATGACTACGAACACGACGGTGACGACTACGACGAAGACCATGCTGACGACGACGTCAACGCACGACGATGACGACGACGACGGTGCCCACCGACCCGTTCTTGAGGGTCCCGCGTGCTCGACCTGCACTTCAGGGTCCCGCTCACCATCGTCGTCGTCGTCGGTTGCGCATTCGTCGTCGTCGTCGTCGTCGTCGTCGTCTTTGTCGTCGTCGTCGTCAGCGTCAGCGTCAGCGTCGTCGTCGTCGTCCCGCGCATGTTTTTTTGTGTGTCTCTCCGCTCTGAATGCTTTTTCGGTCGTTCTGAATTGCGAGCCTCGCCTCGGCACTTGTCACTCCCCTACTGCGTCTACACAGTTAAGTGCACGCCGTTCACTGAAAGCATGTATTTTAGGACGCCCAGGATCCAAATCTAATTCCAGAGCCTTCCTGCATCCGCAGTCGATGGGGGCTTCCTCCTGTTTTTTGGGTGGCTGGGTGGGGGCCGGAACTCAATTTGCTCTGGCCGCCTTTTTCTTCATGTGTCTGCCAACCTGTTCCGAATGGGCTAAGCTCATCATGTACGCATGAGCACATCATTCGGGCCGAACGAAAGGGGGGGATAGGGAAAGGGGGGGTACGAAATCTGCTGCATGCAGCTGGTTTCAGCCCCGCCGCCGGGCCCATTCCTCGATACATGGGCGCCTCCAGGCGTCGGGAGGCGCCGGGAAAATCAGCTACTTGAGCTGATTCTCAAACCCCCCCTTTGCTATCCCCCCCTTTCGCCCGACCCGAATCATGCACATCGCGCCTTTCGGGGTCGCGGTCCCTCCCCTCGGCCACCCCCGCACATCCCTCGGTGCCTCCGCGCCCTCAGCTCTCTCCTGCTCTACCGTCCTCCACCTCGGCAGCCCCCCCCTTCTCTCTCCAGTCCTCACCTCCGCTGTGCTCCTCCACCCTTTCGGCCAATGGACGTTCTGGGGTCTCAGGGTTGGGTTTCTTGTGGAAGGTTTCTTGTGGACTGGCCTCCACTGTATCCAGTGGTCTTCTTGAGGCGGGGCAACAGCTTGGTACAGGCAACACATCCACGCACACACGTTTCAACACGATCGGTGCTTCAATGCTTTTGCTCTCTTGGCGGCGTCTCGGGAACCTCCTGGGCTGCTGTCAGGCGCATCTCGGGGGCATCTTCGGCCTTCTTGGACGGCTTATTGATGCATCTTGATGCGTTTTGCTGTCTTGCTGCATCCTGTCGTCTTGGGGCCGTCCCAGGTCATCTCGGACGCATTTAGATGCCCCCCTTCGGTCGGCAGTCCTGTCGTCGGGGCCTCGTGGGCTTTCTCAGCTTTCCGGCGGAGTCCTTGGCCGACTCCTGGGGCAACCCAGGGGAGCCAGGAAGCCGAGACCGCACCCCGGGTTGTGGATTGTGTTACCGCAGTGCACCGTTGAAGGGAGACGGGAGTGGAGAAGCAGGAGACAAGCGACGGCGTACACCATAGATGTTGCGATTGCAGGTTCCGCAGCACTGTTCACAAGCTTGCGCCCCCGGGATGGCTGGCGAAGTTTGGATTCCCGGGTCCCAATTTGCTTCAGGCGTCTTCCTGCTTCAAGAGAAGGCAGGCCACTACTTCAACGGACCAATCTGTGGGCGGGCCGAAGCCCAGTCTCTACTTCAATCGCCTTCCCGCCTCATCCCGCCACGACCTTGTTCCGAATGGCCTGCCGCCGTCTTCCCTCCCCCGTACGCCCGTGCAGAGGTGCGCCGCCCATATGGCCCGCCCCCAGTGCGCGTGCGGCCCGCCTCGCCCGGCCCGCGCGCGCGCATGGCCGCCGGCCTGCCTCCGTCCGTAGCGCTGCGGCCGGCGGTGCTGTCGCCGGCAGCAGGGAGCCCTGTGCAAGTTCGGGTGTTGCCCAAAGGCGTCTCTGGCCGAAGGTGGCCCCAGGCTTTCCGGGGAGGCCCAGCCGACCTTCAGAGCACTCCTCACGAGGCCCAGGGGGCCCCGTGGGCTCCAAGGTGGTGCGGAAAGTTGGGGGCACCTGAGCGGCGCAAAAACACGGGACCGTCTGAGCCGACATTCGCGCGGAAGTTGCCCGCGCAAGGTCGCGCGTAAGTGCCCTCGTCGCCAATGTGGCGTGCCGCGCCGGAATCGCGTAGGCCGCGGCGTGAGGCCGCCACGCCATCTCGCGCAAGACCCAATTTTTCATCGTCGCTCACCCTGGGCTGGGACCAGCTCCGGCAACGCCCGACAGGTGCGCGTTGCCTCGAGCAGGCTGGTGCGCCTGCCCGCCGCCGGCGGGGCCGGCGCCCTCGTCGTGCCCGCCGGCGGCGGTGCCCTGGGCGGCCAGCCTCGGCGGCGCGCAGAAGCGGGGAGGGGCGAGGGTTGGATCGGGCATGTCCCCCTACAGGCAGATTTTGGGGGAACAATGCAAAATAGTCAACACATGCGCAACGACGGCCAACGAACAGTTTCTGAATCGTCCCCAGATTATCTTTTGACTATTTTTGAATATTCCTCGTGTGCAGGGACATGCCTCGAAGAAGAAAAAGCGCCATAAACATAAACTTTCGGCGCTCCGCGCGGATTTCTTGGATCCGCGCCTGGCCTCCCTGGCGGCGCCTCCGGCGCCGCCCCTGGCGCGGTCCAGCGCAGATCCAAGAAACCCGCGCGGAGTTCCAAGAGTTTAGGTTCATGCCGCTTTTCCTTTTTCTAATGTTGAGTCGGGCGTGTCCCTCTACAAGGGGAACGCTCAAAAATAGTTGAAACATAGTTTTGGGACGATTTTGTCGGTTATGTGTGTATATGTTTGAGTATGTTTAGAGATTGTTTGTTTTTAATTTGGAAACATAAAATGCAATGCATGAACATATACATTGGGGGGGAAACAAAATAGCGACGGGCTTCGTTCGTTTCACAGAATCGGCGCGCTGCGTCGCAAAAGCAGTCGGTGTCGGCCCTGTGGAATCATACGGCTCCCTCTCGTCCTGACTATACGTGCCTCTCTGCATTTGTGTCTGTTGCATGTTTGCTTGTGCACAGTGCCGTGACTGACGCTTTGGCTCAAGCTGTTCTGTGTGCGTTGAGTGCAAAGGCATCCCATTCAGTACATCTTGCGATGGCCGCCTGAACCCGTCGTGCCCACAGTGGTAGGCGGAGCGTGGTTCACCGAACGACTTCCGGAAGCGAGGCCCAGGGCGGGTGCGCAGCTGGAGGACGGTTCACCGATCTGCGGCAGGGCGAGGGCGACCTACGAGGGTGCAAGTACTGAAGACGGGTGATGAGTCACTCGAGCGCAGCTGCCTCAGCAGGCGGCAGGGAAGGGCTCACAGACGCAGACATCGACAAGATTGCGGGCAGAGTGGCCCAGATGATACGGTTGGGCACCGGGGCTGCGCCAGCCTCGGCGCCACCCGAGGGCGCGCCCAACCTCCAGGGGCTCGCCGGTCAAGATCAGAGCGCAGCTCCATCTCACGAAGCAGGCTGGAGCGTGGTCGACGACCCCTGGACGGAGCAGGATCCGTGGCGAGAAGAGTGGAGAGCGAAGGATGCGCGGGCAGAAGAGGACAAGCAAACACCACCATCCATGAGGGCATCAGACACCTGGAAGGAGTGGAAAGACAGACCCGGGCGACAACAGACCTGGGATCAAGATTACTCGTGGCAGAGCTGGGGTAGCCAAGGCAGCTCGTGGCAGCACGACCGCGGCTGGTGGCAGGGCCAGTGGCTCCAACCTAGGCCAGCACCATCATGGCCAGGCTGGGAGAGATTCAGGCTGTGGAAGCAGTACGTGCAACGTTGGAAGAACGGCCTGAACCTGAGCGAGACTCAGGCAGCAGACAGACTGCTAGAGATCCTGCCCTGGGAGATCCGGGCGACCCTCGAGGACGTCCCGGACAGCGAGCTGACGGTCGAGCTCATACTGAAGAGGATGGGCCTCAAGTCCGGCGAGCGCGAGGACGACGACCTCTACCGGACGGGCAGCGAGGCCATGCAGGACACGGAGAGGAAGAAGGACGAGGACCTGCACACCTTCGCGGAGCGACGCCGACGTCAATTCGACAAGGCGAAGAGTATCGGGATGGAGATCCCGCAGAAGATCCAGGGCATGCTGCTGATGCAAGGAGCTCGTCTCAACGAGCAGGGCAGACAGAACCTCAAGAGCCTGACGAAGGGCTCGATGCTAGGTGAGGACATCCTCTGGGCGCTGCCTAAGCTGGACACCGGAGGGAAGATCTGGAGCGACGGCAAGCAATCATCGCTACTAAGCATGGGATCGGAGGAGGTGCCGCCTGCTCCCGAGGTCCAGCGGGCAGAGATTGGGCCGGTCGAGGAGCCGATCTACGAGTGGTCGTACTGGGCCGACGAGCTGGACTCAGAGGACGAGGCCATGGTTCTCGTCGAGCTCTCCGAGAAGGGCCTCGCGGAGCCAGAGGTGGTCGAGACCTTGGCACAGATCGGCAAGACCAAGAAGACGTGGAAGGAGAACCAGCAGCTGAAGACGGCGCTCAAGCGGGATCGGGGCTTCTGGAAGAAGAAGCGCCGGCTCACTCCATCTCAGCTGAAGTTGATCACGAAGTGCGGCAACTGTGGAGAAGTAGGGCACTGGCACAAAGAGTGCAAGAACCCTCATCGTCCCAGAGAGCGAGATGGCAAAGGCAAGCCTCGGTCTGGAGGGGCCGAGATCGAGGCCTTCACGTTCACCGCGATCGGCGCGGGCGACGACCAGGACTACAACATCGACGGCATCACGGTCCTGGGCAGGGAGGTGCTGGCGACCCTCAGGGAGATCGTCAGCTCGGAGACTACGGAGCTCTCGCTGCTGATTCTCGAGGGCGGCCTGATCATCGTGGACAGCGGTGCCTCCCAGGCGATCATTGGCCGCCGGGCTTTGAAGGAGCTCGAGGGAGATCTGCAGCAACGAGGCCTGCGGATCAACTGGATCGAGAAGAGCGTCCAGACACCTCGGGGTATCGGCGGATCGGCCACGCTGGTCGGAGTCGCCGTGGTGCCCATCTCCATCAGTGGCAAGAGCGGGACCGTCGAGTTCGTGGTGACGAAGGAGGACCTACCGCCACTCTTACCAGGCGGGTTTCTCGAGCAGTTTGGCGCAGTGCTGGACTACGAGAAGGACCTTCTCATTCTGAAGAAGTTGGACTGTGAGACTGAGCTCCACCGGATCGGGAAGAACCACCGGGGGATCTACATCAACGACTGGCGCGGGACGGAGAGCAGCTTCTCTCCCAACCCGCGCACCTTGCCAGCCGGCCTCAGCTCGGACGCTTTCCGAGCCCCGACTGAAAAAGAAGACGTACTCTCTTGGAAGGATCCCTCCAGGCCTCGAAAGGAGGGAAACGGCACCACAGGAGCCCCCGCACCTCCAAGAGATCCCGGGAGCCTGCATACCGACTATAGCAGTTCGAAACCTGCGATGCCTTCCTCCAGCCACGACTCCCGCCACATCTCCAACCCTGTAGCTGATTTGGCTCAAACATTGAGCCAGGCACAACCACCGAGCTCACCGCGAGATCCGCCTCAAGTCGATGCGGGACCGCCCAGACTCGGACATCTCAGAGAGGGTCAAGATCCAGTGGATCAGGCTGCTGCATGCCGGACTGATGTGGACACAGACCCTCATGGACAAGTTCTTTGCTCTGAACAGGCGCGGGAGACTCTTCCCGGGAAAGGAGCTTCGTCGGAGGTTGGTGGAGGACCCCAGGCTGGTGAACGACCTCTACGAGTACCGGGTTCCGATGACGGCTCCCCTGGCGGACGGGTCAGTGCCTTGGACGCTCTGTGTGCACCGCCCCAGGTGGTTCGTGACCTCCTACAACCAGTACGGGAACTGGGAGCAGTGCAACAAGTGCAAGGTGAGGACGTCCTACCGGGAGATCGGGTACCGCGGGGACGGCCACCGACAGATGACGGCATCGGAGATGAGGAAGCTCAAGCAGCAGCTCCCGCGCGACGTCAGGCCTCTGAGCTCGGCAGGCTCGGCGATGCGGGAGGGCGCAGCTCCGGCTCCGAGTCGACGCGTGGCGTCGGCGCCGAACGACGAGAACACCTGGTCGAGCTTCAACCAGGAGCCTCCGCCCCCGTGGGCCTCAGAGATGGTGCGAGGCCTGTCGGCAGCAGTGGCCGAGGCGATGACGGCATCCACGGGGCCGATGACAGCAGCGTTACGCGAGCAGTCCGTGACGCTCGCGCACATGGTGGCCACGATGCAGCAGATGGCGTCAGAGCCTCCAGCAGCAGGCGGGGGTGCGGACTCCAGCTCACCGACAACCGGTCCGCCACCGACGACCACCGGGGCACTGCCAAACCTCGGGTTCACCATGGTGGAGGAGGTCCCGGCGGACACCGACATGAGGGGCAACTGAGAGAGAGCGGTGTGCTGCGGCTCCTTGGCGACAAGTCTCGACAGGAGTGCTGGCTTCGAATCCCTACCTCTCGCAGTTTACACAGAGAGGCCAGCGCTGTTCTGGAGCAGGCCAGGGCCGACGGCCGGTGCTACCGGATCGATCAGGAGACTTTGGAGAAAAGCGAAGGACCTCCATCATCTTCCTCATCTCGTCTTAGCCTCTCCTCTGTTCCTGCCTGGCAGTGTGAGTCCGACGACGGGCGATACAGACTCTGGGTCAGCACATCCACATCCACCTCTCAGGGTAGGCCCAACTCTACTGAAGGCGGGTCTGCGGATGCGGGGTCCTACTATGTTGTTCCTCTCCAGAGCTACCTGTCTATCGCGACGCTACGCGGCTCCGAACCACATCACGACTTCGACGACACGCTAGCTAATCTAACGGGCCTGGACAACTACACTCACCAGTTCAGGGTTGACCAGAGGAGTAAGCGTCGTCTTCGTCAGGGTCTCCGAGGTCTTGGAAGAGTATCGGGATCCGACTCCTGGGGATACGAGTTTGTTGAAGTTTTCTCACCTCCTCGCAGGGCAAAGGTCTCCTCTCAGCTGGGCTCCAGGGGCTCTCCGACCGGTGGCAGCTTAGACTTAACCACGGGCTGGGATTTCCGACGTACGGATCACCGGGAGCTAGGAAAGCAGCTGATCAAGAAGTGGCGTCCATGGTTGGTGTTCCTCAGTCCTCCTTGCACTGAATTTGCCGCCATCAACGCGGTCAACGATGAGCGGCGAGACCCGGTCGAGATGGCCCGAGCGCGTGGAGAAGCATTGGACCTGTGGGCGTATGCGATGGAGATAATCGAGCTTCAGATCTCGGGTGGTCGCAAGTTTGCTCTGGAACAACCTACTACCGCGACCTCTTGGGCTCTTCCCAGTACTCAGAGGCTTCTGGAGCTCCCGGGCGTGTCCAGGATCACGTTTGACATGTGCAGG